GCCCGCGGCGCAGCCCGCGAGTGGGGAACGGGGCCGCGGGGGCTCCGCAGGCGGCCGCCCGGCCCGGGAGGGAGTTGGCTCTGCTTGTGCTGAGTTCAGGCCTTTCCAGCGCCGCGGAAATGTGTCGAGGCTGCATTTTCCTCACTGCAGTCGTTGCGTTTGGCACTTTTCAGCGCGATCTTTCTTCAGGAAGGCACCGAAAGCTGGGAGTCAGCAGTCTGGAGAGGCAGGCCAGGCTGGCCCCTGCCTCGACGCCAGGGCCCTGGCTGTCCTCTGCACTGCAGGGCGGTTTGGTCTCTGATCCTGGGAGCAAGGCTGGAGAACAGCCAGGGCGTCCCTCCTGTTCTCTGGAGGGACTCACGTGCCGGTTCTTCCCATCCCTGACCTCTTGGAAGGGGCCTGGGGCGAGGACATGTCAGCCGGGGTCTTGTTGCAGCCTCGTAGGCTCTGCTGGGAGGCGGGTGCTGACTGCAAGCAGGGCCAGACAAGGCTGGATTCCTCCATCTGGGAAAGGCTTGACTCTTACCATTAAAAATGGTTAAGCTGCTGTTGTTGGGGACTGGGACCGGTCTCTCCTCTTGTCCACTGTTGCCTCCTCCCGGACTCTGTGGCTTCTTGCAGGGTGTTGGATGTCCCGCAGCTGCCAGCTTCTCGCGGTTCCCTTCCGAGCAGCAGCTGGTCTGGGAGCAGCTAGGTGTGGGTTTGCTGAGCAGGTGGGGTTCACCAGAAGGCCCTTAGCTCAGACAATCCATTCACAAATGTATGTTTAAAAAACAAAACCACTTTATCAGTTTGTAGCTGGGATGTGGACAGCAGAAGGTTTCTAGGTGGCTCCTGCAATCTGTTCGATAGACCTCTGTCTTCCCTGATAAAGGGCTTTACTGAGCAGGTTTGCCCGTAAATCTGGACATCCAGTTTCCTTCCTCTGCACTAACCTGTTCCCTGGAATTCTGCGTGGGTTCCCATAGCTTTAGGGGTAGTGACAGTGCGTTGGGGGTCCAGCCTGCGCGAGCACCGCTGCTGCCCCTGCACCCCCTGCCCTCGAGGCCCCCGCAGGCCCCTGCGCACCCGCAGCGCTCGTGGCCTCGCACTCGCTGTCAGCACCGCCAAATAGGAACGGAGGAAAGAAATGCAATGGCTTAAGAGAAAGGGGAAAGCTGATTTTTGCGAAGTGGCTGCTATGCTGCCCGTTCTGCGCTCGCCTGCTGCCTTGCAGCTGGCTTCCCTGGCCGCCAAAGTGACCTTTCTGCACCGCGCTGTCAGGTTGTAGCGGGCGGCGCGCTGGAAGGAGCATTGTCCTCGGGGTATAAATAGCCCGGCTCCCGGCAGGCTCCGAGCTCCGGAGCCTCCGCGTGTCCTGGAGGACACCGGCCCCGCTCACCTCTGTGGGGCAGCGGTGGGTGCTGCGGAGAGCCTGGGCTGTGGCTGCGGCCAGGGGCCAATTTCGTATTGGTGAATAGCCCTCTCTCCGCGCCTCTCGCGTTCAGCCAGCAAAGAAGCAGCTACATGGGAGAACTCGCTGTTATCGACTGCTTGGCGCTGAGGAGACCGCGAGCACGAAGGTGTCTGTGGACTGGATGTGCACAGGAATCTTTGCAGCTGGATGCTGGTTGTTGGAGACACTGTTGTGTCTGTTGAATGATTGGAGAGGATTCAGTTCACTGGGCTGCAGAGCAACATCCTGACCTAAAATCTGAGGGGGAGGTACCCAGAGGCGGGAGCGGGTTTGGGTGTGATTCGCCATGAAACAGACCTGGGAATTGCTCCCCTTGGTTCTGAGGTGCCCCCCGGCAGTGACAGGGTCTGCTCTCCCCTTCTCCTGGCCCTCCTTAATCTTTATTTTCTTAGGAGCAATGCTTGGCCCTGAGATAAGGGAAGGGAAAAGTGATTCCACGCCTTGGCATTGCCCAAGGCTGCTGGCTAAGGGTTTCTTCCTTTCAAGAAACATTTGACTGGGAGAGGTGAGGGCTGCTGAGGGGTCAGTGAGTTTGTGATGGGGCCCTTACGCTTGTGCTACTGGGTCAGGTTGTCCCGACTCGGGGCAGAGCTTTGGCCTGCTCCCTGCATGTGCTGATCTCCCTGAGAAGCAGGGAGGCTCCGAACGGGAGCGAGCGGCAGCCTCCTGCCGTGGGCTGCTCGCTGGGTGCGTGGTGGAGCAGAGGCTTCCCCGTACGGGCAGCTTGCCCTGGTCCACCTGCCCAGGCAGCACCAGCGTGGGTCCGAGGGGTTCCCGAGGCCTGGGTTGCTCGGGCGCTTTCCGGAGAGGCGCCGGCGCTCAGGAATTGCGAGGATGAGGTTGGGAGCAGGAGGCCCAAGGCTGCCAGGCTGCTGAGTCAGCATGACTGGCTTTGGGGAGCGGGGGGCCGGGCCGGAGC